ATGAGGACAATAATACCCACTTCTTAGGGTTGTTGTGTGGACTACATGTGATATATGGATGTAAGACATTTAGGAGGGTTTGACATGAACAGGCTTTCAGTAAATATTGGTTTCTTAACCTTCCTTGATAGATCTGAGGTGGACAAGAACCCTGTCTTGAGTCTCAATTGTCTCTAAAATTCCTCTTTAGCTTGGAAATTTTTAACGACTTGAGTTTTAACAAGGTAATGACTTACTCCCACTTCTGGGATGTAGTGACTGTATGCCAATAGGTGGTCATTTGCCATAACCAAAATGACTACAAACCACAAAAAGGCCTCATTAGACAACAGGTTGCAAGAAACAAAATAATGGGTTAAATCTGACCCATATCTACATATATCAACACAATATGGTTTTCACTGTCTGACTCCTATGAATAAATCAACATTTGTTTTCCTTAATTTGATTTATTTTAAGACATACAAAGTCAGAAAAGTGTTATGATAAAAACTCAGAGGCTCTCTGGAATTCCATGACCTAAATTTTAATCTTATCTCCGTTACTTAATTACTCTATTACTTAAGTGACCTTGGGAAATCACCCCACATGGCTGAGCCTGTTTCCCCACTGTTGAAAAGTAATTAACAAGCCTGTCTGTCAATCTCAAATGGTAGTGAGGAGGAGCAAAAGAGTCACTTATTTGCAAGGGTTTGCTAAAGGACAGCAGGCGAGTCGATGTGAGTTACCATTACTATGCTTCATTGATAAAGCATTAGAAGGTCTGGATGAAAAAATTAAAATCTGAAGAAGTAAGATCTAGTAGTTAACAGTTACATCTTCATGGATTTACATCTGCTATGATGCATGAAAGGGAGGCCTAATGGTGCAGTGGTGAAGTGCTCGGCTACTAACTGAAAGGTTGGTGGTTTGAACCCATCAGCTGCTCCACGGCAGAAAGATGTGGCAGTCTGCCTTTGAAACCCTATGCGGCAGTTTTATTCTGTCCTATAAGGTCACTATGAGTAAGAATCCACTTGACAGCAACAGGATATTTTTGGGTTTTTTTATGATGCATGAGGTTCCACACAAAAGCATTCAAAACTCATCACAGAGAGTAAAAAGGTCCTAAGATTTTATTGTTGAAAAGAACCATTAAGATCATCAAGGTCAGGCCTCTAGGTTTGCAGAAAAGGAAAAGGCTCTCCAACATTTGGTTAGTGGAGACCAAGGACAGGATCCCAGATGTTTGTCTCACATGTTGACCAGGTTTTAAATGACCTCAGAACTATCTAGCAATGTTTCTCAAACACTTGAAGCTATCAATTTTGGGAACTTTTTAAAAAAGATAAATCACAATTATTTAACAACAAAAGGGTTTGTTTTCAAATTAATAACAATGATTTCATATCAATGACAGGAGTGTTATTGTGACAATCTATTACCAAGGTAGCTACAGAGAAAAGCATCTTACTTGGGCATTCAATTCTATTGACAATGGCAAAGTGAAAATTGTGCAAGGTCAAAACCTTTGAAAAACTCCTTAAAATATACCATATAATAATCCCTTAATAGTACTGTTATGGACTGAATTGTGTCCCCCCAAAATGTTTGTCAATTTGGCTAGGCCATGATTCCCAGTATTGTGTGATTGTCCACCATTTTGTCATCTGATGTGATTTTCCTATGTGTTGTAAATCCTACCTCTATGATGTTAATAAGGTGGCATTAGAGGCAGTTATGTTAATGAGGCAGGACTCAATCTACAAGATTAGGTTGTGTCTTTAGTAAATCTCTTTTGAGATATAAAAGAAGCAAGCAGAGAGACCTGGGGACCCCATACCACCAAGAAACAAGAGCCAGGAGAACAGTGCATCCTTTGGACCTGAGGTCCCTGCACTGGGAACCTCCTGGTCCAGGGGAAGACTGATGACAAAGACCTACCTCCAGGGCAGACAGAGAGAGAAAGCTGCACCCTGGAGATGATGCCCTGAATCTGGACTTCTAGCCTACTAGACTGTGAGAGAATAAACTTCTGTTTGCTGAAGCCATCCACTTGTGGCATTTCTGTTATAGCAGCACTAGATAACTAAGACAAGTACCATATTGTGGGATAGTTTTCATAAATTATTTCCTTCACGTATTTTGCTTCTTGGAACACTTAAAGCTTTTCAAGATTCCAACTTGCTTGTTCTTTCTGTATGTGGTCATCTACTTTTCCTCCACACTAACATACCAAAAGCACATTAGTGTTGGGTTGTTTTTTTGTTTTGTTTGTTTTTCCCACTCTAAAGCAACTATCTGCTAGCACAACAAATTGCATTTCCTTGGGTATGACACAACCTTGGGTATTATGTAACACCCAATAGGTGGCATTTGATAAAGGAATTTTTGCCAATACCTTGCTCTGCTTTAAGCGTAACAATCATCATTAACTTTGCAGCTGGTTTTTAAACTTTCTTGGCAAGTGTGTGACTGGTGCAAATGGTGTAACTCTTGAGTGACACCTCTGTGGATTTGCTGTTTTCTGTCTTTCGGGACCAACTCCATATCAGTTACACATGGGAACTCATTTTGCACTTGCTCTGGAAAAACTTGCTTGCTTCATTCTGCTATGTTTGAAAATGATAGAGTAACTTTAATGACTTTATGCCATTATTTGAAAAGCTGCAAAAAGAACAAACACTGGGGACTTAGGGAGAATGGCTCACCCATCAAATAAAATCCAAGCCTTTCCCACTAGAGCCACACTCTCAGTATGGAATTCTAGCCTCCTGAATGGTGAGAAAATACATTTCAAAAAAATAATTTTCAAAAAAAATCCAAGCTTTATGCACTGCGAACCTTTTGGTTAGCAGCTGTAACTCGTAACCACTGTGTCAGCAGGGCTCCTTAATAATTATTATATTTACTAATTTCCCTTTCCTGTTTCAGCTGCTTGTTCAGAAAAATTTCATTCACAGACTCACCCTGTCCCAGACCAAAGAGACTCCTATTTTATATTTACCCTGGAATCATGTTCACTATTTATAATTATATTATTCGGAATTATAGTATTTACTATTTTCATCTCTTCTTTTATGTTTCAACGAACCACTTTCAAGACACTGATCCTTTTGTTTGTAAACTGAGGATATAATATAAAACCAAAAAAAACCAAACCCGGTGCCGTCAAGTCAATTCCAACTCATAGCGACCCCACAGGACAAAGTAGAACTGCCCCTTGTAGGGTCTGCAAGGAGTGGCTGGTGGATTTCAAAAGCCGACTTTCTGATTAGCAGCCAAGCGCTTAACCACTCTGCCACCAGGCCTCCACATAATGTAAAACAGATAATAAAAATTATAAATTACAAATGTAAATAATACCTAACATAAAAAGATTATAGCTAAGTCAGAGTGGCATGTTATCAACAAAGTATTAGTCTAGACAAGCACATCAAATGCATGTTCTTGTAGTACGTGTGCAACCTTTAAGAATATGATGATGGAATACCATGCAATGATAAAGAACAACGATGAAGCCGTGAAACATCTTATAACGTGGAAGAATCTGGAGGGCATTATTGCTGAGTGAATTTAGTCAGTCACAGAAGGACAAATATTATAATAAGATCACTATTATAAGAACTCAAGAAAAGGTTTAAACACAGAAGAAAACATTCTTTGATGGTTACGAGGGTGGGGAGAGAGGGAGAGGGTTATTCACTAACTAGATAGTAGACAAGAATTGTCTTATGTGAAGGGAAGGACAACACACACTACAGGGGAAGTCAGCACAACTGGACTAAACCAAAGCTGAGAAGTTTCCTGAATACAACCAAACACTTTGAGGGACAGAGTAGCAGGGGTAGGGGTCTGGGGACCATGCTTTCAGGGGACACCTAGGTCAATTGGCATAACAAAGTTTATTAAGAAAATGTTCTGCATCCCACTTTGGTGAGTGGCATCTAGGGTCTTAAAAGCTAGTGAACGGCCATCTAAGATGCATCAATTGGTCCCAACCCACCTGGAGTAAAGGAGAATGAAGACCAAAGTCACAAGGAAAGTATTAGCCCAAGAGACAGAAAGGGCCACATAAACCAGAGACTGCATCAGCCTGAGACCGGAAGAACTAGATGGTGCCTGGCTACCACCAATGACCACCCTGACAGGGAACACGACAGAGAGTCCCTGATGGAGCAGGAGAAAAGTGGGGTGCAGAACTCAAATTCTAGTACAAAGACCAGACTTAATGGTCTGACTGAGACTGGAGGAACCCCAGAAGGCATGGCCCCTGGACTCTCTATCAACCCAGAGCTAAAACAATTCCCGAGGCCAACTCTTCAGACAAGACATTAGACTGCACTATGGAACATAAAATGATACTCGTGAACAGTGTGCTTCTTAGCTCAAGTAGATACATGAGACTAAATGGGCAGCTTCTGTCTGGAGGTGAGATGAGAAGGCAGAGAGGGTTACGAGCTGGTTGAACAGACACAGGAAATCTGGGGTGGAAGGGAGGGGTGTGCTGTCACAGTATAGGGAGAGCAATTAGGGACACATAACGAAGTATGTATAAATTTTTGTATTTGAGACTAACTTAAATTGTAAACGTTCACTTAAAGTACAACAATTAAAAAAAAAAAAAAGAATATGATGATCATAGGCTCTGGAACCAGATGGCCTCATTCAACACGAGGCTCTGCCACTTACTAGCTGTTGACCTTGGGCAAGTAACTCCCTGAGTTTTGGTTGCTCACTAAGAAATAGGGGTAATTACTAGTACGCAGCTCAGAGGGTTGTTTGAGGATGGAATTAACTAACACATGTATTAGAATTGTACTTAGCACAGAATGCTCAAAAATGTTAGCTTTATGTATATAACGGGGTTTCTGTGAAAGCTGAACTCACCTTACATTTCAATCACATCTATGGCAAGTATGTTAGCCACATCTGTTGTCTGAAACCCACAAACCACCACTGGTTCATGGGCCCCACTTGTATTTAGTATCTCTGCCATACTCATTTAGTTATTTACTCACGATTTGGCACACAGGTTCCCAAAGTAATTGATGATTTCATTTTGGATACTCGGTTGCTTAGGACACACTGTATTTCCTGTGAAAGATCATTCTCCTTAAAACTTATTTCAAGTTTCGAGGAAGTGCTGTTACATAGTTGTAAACCACAATTCCATGAGTACTCTATAAATTCAACATGACTGTTGTAATGTTCCGGGATTGTACATTGGACTATAATGTTTTTATCAGTCAATGTACAATTTAGAATTGGAGATGGAAGCAGCTCTGGAAAAAAAAAAAAAAGTGTACTATTTAGTACAGAAAAGAGTAATATTTCTACTCATCATCTGTAAATTTATGAAGAACCCCCAACTTCCTTCTGAGCTTGTAAAGACAAGCAGACCACCTACTTCAGCACCAATGGCGGAGAATTCTCTCCTCCTGGGTTAGACTTACCTGCTTAAACTCAGCAGAATAAACACAGACCCCGACTCCCTTATCCTTGATTCTGAAATCTGAAAAGGTCTTAAAGCCAAAAGATTTTTCACAAGTTGGTAGCAAAGTCATTTAGCTGTAAATCTTGATATGAACTGACATGAGGTTTTTTTTTTTTCACTTCAAATATTCATTATCATGTTTCACCACAAAAATATTCACGTGCTTGATTACGGAGTGCTCCCCATAACTAAGTAGGGTACTTTTGAATATACACACGGAAGATAGTTTGCATACCTTTCTAAAATCTAAAAAAATAAAAATTAATTTCCAAAACCCAAAGAGTTTTGCAAAAGGTACTACGGAGCACTATACAATTTGGTTGGACCCTGCAAACTGGTTGGGCTTCACCTGCTAACAGGCAAAGTGGGATGTGGCACCTAGAGGTCTCACTCCCAGCCTTCCTCTAGGAAGCACTCCCTACTGGCTAAGGCAACCTAGACCTACAAGAATGGGTTAAGATACTCACATGTTACAAAGAAGGGGGACAGTCACATTGTGCCATCGCTGCTCTCTAAAACCTCAAAGCTAATTAACTAGTTCTGTTAGTCATTTGTTTACTTCATATGTCTTCTTGCATTTCAACTTTCCCCCAGCAACTAACCATAAGAGATATGAGAAATATGCAAAAATATATGTAATATAAAAAAGTGATGATGCATCAATAATGAAATAATTTAATGAAATAAGTCAATCACAAAAGGACAAATATTGTATGATCTTGCTTATATAAAAAGAAAAGAATATGCAAATGTATGGAGATCAGTGTTTACTAGTGTTACCGGGGCTGGAGGGAGGGAAAAGGGGGAGTTATTGCTTATGGAGCACTGAGTTTCTGTTTACAGTGATGGAAAATTCACATTGATTAAGGGCAATGGCTGCACAGCCGATTAATGTAATTGATGGCAATAAGTTATATACCTGTGAAGAGCTGAATTGACAAATGTTGTGTGATACATATTTTTACAAAAAAAAAAGCAGCTGTTGAGGCTATTTACATACAACGAAACACCTCACGGGATTAGGTTTCTTGGTTAGGACGTTTAGGGTCATGGTTTCATGGGATATCCCAGTTAACTGGCCTCGTATCATGGTAACTGCTCCTGATCTACCTCCTAGTTTGTGGAATAGTGCCTGGGATCTTAAAAGCTTGCAAGCGTCCATCCAAGGTACAACAATTGGTCTCCAGTCACCTGGAGCAACAGAAGAAGGGGAGTCTAGAATAGAAAGAAATGGAATGCATGGCTAATTCCCTCTGTGAACAACTATCTCCTTTGCCATGAGACCAGAAAAACTGGATGGTGCCCAGCTACCATTACACAACACCCTGATCAAAGATTCTACAGAAGAATACCGACCAAAAGGGGGGGAAATGCAGGCCAGAATTTCATATTTTCATGGAAGCCAGACTTTCTGGAGCCATGGAAGCTGGAAGAACCCCTGAAATTATTGCCCTGAGATAGTCTTTAAACCTTACACCAAAAATATCCCCTGAAGTCATCGGATTGAAAATGGGACTAATGAGGCACAGCAGTCCAGGGACAAGGACTAGAAGGCAGGAGGGGACAGGAAAGCTAGTGATAGGGAACCCAAGGTTGAGAAGGGGCAGTGTTGACATCTCCTGGGGTTGTTAAACATTGTCATAAGGTAATATGTGCACTGTTTAATAAGAAGCTATATGTTCTGTAAACCTTCATCTAAGGTACCAAAAAAAAAAAAAAGAATTACCTACATGAGATCAAATTGACAACAGCAACTCAAAAGGTCTGATGGGAAGCCTAGGGGGCAGTGAGTTGAAGATAATGGTGATGGAATAATTTGGAAAAGGATAGTGAGAATAGCGGCACAACTGGAAGAATGTAATCGATATCACTTAATTGTACATGTAGAAATTTCAGAAATGGTTTATGTTTAGCTATGTATATTTTCACCAAAAATAAAAATAAAAAAGTCCTCCAAGGTCGAGAAGGGAGATGATTGATGTGTTGTGGGATTGTTAACCAATGTCATAAAAGAATATGTGTACTGACCGTTTAATGAGAGACTATTTATTCTGTAAACCCTCACCTAAAATACAATAAAAAAATTTTTTTTTAAATCCCCTGAAGTCATCTTAAAACATTAGTTTAGCTTAAATTACTAAAGAATGTCTGCCTTGAGCATTATGCCCTTTTAAAGAACTATCCATATGGGATCAAACTGACAACAGCAATTTGAAACGTTAGATAGGAAGCTTAGGGGACAGTGAGTTTATGTTAATGGTGGAGGAACAATTCAGAAAAGGAGGGTGACAATGATTGCACAACTTGAAGAATTTAGTCAATGTCACTGAATTACACATGTAGAAACTGTTGAATTGCCATATGTTCTGTTGTGTATATTTTCAACAACAACAACAAAAATAAATTATTTTTTTACAAAAGTGGTCATGGTAGCATTTGGATAATAACTAAACTTTCAATATATTATAAACATCTGTTAAAAAGGGACTTAAAGTAAATTAAGGTTCATTAAGATGATGAAATACTATGTTGTCATTTAAAATTATATTTTCAAAAACAAAGGAATGCTTAAGCTCCAATTTTACTAGCAATCTAAAAATTAGAAGTATTGAACTCATCTTTCCCCATCTTCTCTTCCTCCTGAATTCTTTCTCTCAGTTATACGATGTGCCCGGCCTGCCTTATTAGAGACCCAAGTCACACACTAACTTCCCTTCCTACTTGGGATTTCCTCAGTTTTTAGGTGTAATCTAGCTCATATAACTCCTTACCGAAATCAAACCAAACCTGATGCAGTAGATTCTGACTCATGGAGACTCCATGTGGGCTGCCTTAGAGTTTTTCTTTAGCTAAAAGAACTTTTAATGCTTTTTTAAGCAAGTGGAAACCTTTCTCTAAATTAAATCATAAGCAGCAGACCAATACAGCAAATGGATAAAAGCGGAGTTGCTCCAGCTGACTCAAAATTGGAGAGTGCAGAGCTCTGCCCCCTCAGCCTTCTCTGGTCTTGTTTGCCGACCAAATCCTCATGGGCGTCCCAGGTACTTCCAGGAAACCTCAGGAGGCCCCAGAATAGTTTAGAAATGACTCTTCTATGTACTGCAAATAGTTATGTCAACCTCTGAAACTAGACCGGACATTTCTCAGGGGCAGAAAACCCAGCTTTCTACTTCCTTCACAATGTTCTGTAGCATGTCTCAAATAGTAATGTGCAGGAGAATCACCTAGGATGCTTGTTAAAAATCCAGGCTCCAGAATCCTGATCAAAAGGGAGAAAATGTAGAACATAATTTCCAAATTCTCATGGACTCTAGACTTCCTGGAGCCATGGAGGGTGGACGAAACCCTGAAACTACTGCTCTGAGATAATTTTTAAACCTTAAACCAAAAATATCCCCTGAAGTCTTCTTAAAACCAAACAGTAGTTTAGCTTAACTAGTAAAAAAGGTCTGCCTTGAGCATCATCCTCTTTTAAGAACTATCTGTATGGGATCAAAGTGACAACAGCAACTTGAAAGATTAGACAGGAACCTTAGGGGGCAGTGAGTTTATGTTAATGCAGAAGGAAGAACTCAGAAAAGGAAGGTGAGAATGGTTGCACAACTCGAAGAATGTAATCAATGTCACTAAATGGTACATGTAGAAACTGTTGATCTGGTGTGTGTTTTGCTGTGTATACTCTCAACAACAACAACAAAAAAGAATAAAATATGGTTACCTGAAAAAAAAAGAGAAAGAAAGGAAGGACGTGGCTGGCTGAGTTGAATGCTGCTGAGAAGACAAGGTGAGAACAGGATAGTGAGCTTTGAATTGGGCAACATGGAGGTCATTGGGGTCTTCATTAGGAGCAGTGGGCGAGGAGAGAATGTGAGGAATGTGGAGGATGACTGGAGTCGGTTTCCAGACATTTTTCCATGAAGGAGAGTAGAGAAAAGAGTTGATAACTGGAGGGTCAAGAGATGTCAAGAAGAGTGTTTTTCTGATGGGAGGCACTAGAGCGTGTATATGAGTTGATGGAAATGATTGAACCGAAAGGGATATATTGATTCAGGAGAGAAAGCAGAGAATTGCAGGAGCAGAGAGCTTGAGAAGGTGTTGTTATTGGTTGCCGTTGAGTTAATTCAGACTCCTGGTGACCCCATGTGTGTCAGAGTAGAACTGCTCCATAGGGTTTTCAAGGCTGTGACTTTTTGGAAACAGATCGGCAGGCCTGTCTTCTGAGGCACCTCCGGGTGGGTTCGGACTGTCAACCTTTCAGCTGGTAGTCGAGCACGTAACCATCTGCACCACCCAGAGATACTCTAAGAAGGTGAGGGGTGGTGTATTAGTTATCCACTGCTGTGTTGAAATTTACCACAAAATTAGTGACTTACAACAACACACATTTTGATCGAAAACTTTGGGAATGCATAAGGGTGATGGTTGAACATGATAAACACAATGTTACTGAACAGTATATGGGAAGATTGTTGAAATATCAAATGTTCTGTTACATATATATTTACCACAATAAAAAAAAATGACAGGCAAAAAAACTCCCACATATTTAAAAAAAAAAAAATCCAGACTCCTGGGTCCCCACCTACAGGCATTCTGCTTCAGTAGTATCCCAGGTGATCACACTCCATCCATGATTTCATTGATCTAGTTCAGCCAGTGTCTAGCCTTCACGAAATACTTCTCAAACAGACCAGAGGTATACCATAAGCCCTCTCAGGCTGTGCAGCATTTGGAGGTAAAGACGAGATATTATTCACCTCTCAATCCCCAGTACCTTGCATAGTATAATACAAAGCACAGAGATGGTTGCTTTAAGTGTTACTGAACAGATGGAGGGGTGGCTGGATAAAGGGATAAATTCAGGGAAAACGGTCTTCAAATTACTCTCCATCCTGTAAAATGTAAATTCCTCAATCAGCTCACTTCTATAAAGGACTGGTAAGGTGGTGAAGAGCCTGGACTCAGGAGCCCCACTGCCTGGGTTCATATCCCAGCTCCACTTCTAATAACCATTTGACCTTGGGCAAGTTTGTGCCTACATTTCCTCATCTCTACAATAAGGAAACAAAAACAGTACTTGCCCCGTAGGATTGTAGTCAGGATTAAACGGAGGACTGTAGTGAGGATTAAATGAGTTAATATATGTCATAATTAATACATAAATTAATATGCAGTACTTGGCAAAGAGTAAGTGTTTAACAAATACTAGCTGTAATACAGCCCTGGTGGCACAGTGGTTAAAGCAATTGACTGCTAACCAAAAGGTCAGCGGTTCAAAACCACCAGTGGCTCTGTGGGAGAAAGACGTGGCTATTCTGCTTCCATAGAGGTTTTACAGCCTTGGGAACCCTATGGTTGCTATGAGTAGACTCAATGGCAGTGGGTTTTGGTAGTACAGCACAAGGTTCCTGGCTGTGAGTGATCAACTCCAGGAAGCCAAGGCTCCGGGAGGGTGGGTGATATGAAAAGAGTCACTAACTTCCGGAAGTTTGAGCTTTGTGTGTGACCTTGAGCCACAGATCTTTCAGGAGCTGGAAGACTGTTCAGAAATCATCCAGCTCGGACTCCTTATTCTACAGATGGAGAGACCCACTCCTAAATCTGTGTCTCATTTTCATCTGTAAAATACAATACAGTACTTTATAAGGTCATTGTAAAGGTCAAATGGAATATGAAAATAATTTGGAGGAAAACATATGGAAGTGCTAGTATTATTACTAATTTCGATGTTGTTAGAACCCCCTAACTACACAGAAGATTTTTCTAGCTGTCTCATTACACCACTGTTACCAGGTATGAAACTTAGAAGTGCCTCTCCAGCTCTGTGATACTCACCTAAAAATAGCAAATCTTTCTGTAATATCTCGGTCAGAGTTTCCCCAATCAGATTTTTTCCTTCTACAAATCTTTCACGTTCCTCACTTCCCACAGGACTTACCACAGCTACATCTAACAAACACGTTACATCTGTACCTTAAGCAGCAGTAAGCTGGTAAGAAATGTGCCTACTCCATCCCTAAGAAATTCATAACTAGTCAATTAGTCAATTTATAATTAATGAATTCAGCTCACTGTTCTGTAAGAAATGAGAATTTCTTACATATATTTGATGATACTTTACAGAAATACGTGTATATTTCCATTATTGTCATTAAAAGGTCACAGACCTTTGGTAAGGATACCCATTGCCGCTGAGTCGATTCTGACTCATAGCGACCCTGTAGAACAGAGCAGAACTACCCCATAGGGTTTCAAGGAGCGGCTGGTGGATTCCAACTGCCAACCTTTTGGTTAGCCGGGGAGCTCTTAACTACTGCACCACCAGGCTCCATTGATAAGGATAGAGCAGTTAATTCTACTTACATGAACATCACTATCCTCAATGTAATACAAGTTTGTATGGGATGGGAAAGAACCAACTAACAATAATGGTAGAAATCTTAAGGGGGAGGGGAAGCCCAATCTCAATTTACACACAGAGGGAAGCGTATGCCCTAAATATAAGAGGTATCAGGAAATCCCCCTGACCAAAACAGCCTTGCTTAAAGTCCCCTTTAGGTCTGGTCTCTGTAAGATTAAAACCATCTGCCGTTGAGTCTTTCCAACTCAAAGCGACCCCATGTGTGTCAGAGTCGTGTTAAATGAATGTGAACACACCCTCAAGGACGTAAGACTTGCTCATTTCTTAAAAAAAAAAGAAAAGATGATTTTCTCATCTTGTCTTTCAGGTATAAAACCTTGCGTCATCTTTGATTCTTTCCTGGCTTTTGTCTTTTGACATTCAAAACCTGAATTTCGTTGACTCTTTCTTGGAAGTATCTTTTGAGTTTTTCCTTTCCAACATACTTTACTACCAACACCTCTGTCTACCTGGACGATCACAGGAACTTCTAAGCTGATGTTTCCTATCTCCAATCCATCATAAATACTCAATATCCCTCTAATTAATCTTCTAAAAATATATTCATCAAGTCCGTTCCCTGCTCCGGTATCAGATACAATGACTCCGCACTGCTAAGTCCCAATTCCCAAATCAGAATTTTAAGTCCCACATTCAATACTATCAATATCCCTGCCTCCTGATCAAAACTCACCTTCCCTGTGCTTTATGCCTCTCCAGGCAGTCACTAAGCTTCCCAAGTACTACCCAGCTGATCTGACTGACAAAACCAAGCACATTTATTACTCACAGAATTTTAAAAATTATTTATAAACATTGCATCAAGTTTAAAATGAAAACCTTATTCAATTGTTTTGAACTCAGTTTTTCAAATTCAATAAAAGGGCTGCTAAAATGCATTCTATTGTTACCCAAATCCTGAATCAATCTTTTTCTTTGCTTGTCCTATAAACTGCCCGATAACCAACTTCCAGGTTTTAAAAATTCTGCTTCTTCAAAAGGATCTATTGGCCCTTCCAACAGGATGCCTTAACATCTTAACAAGCTTCAGTTGTCTAAACGGAATTATCGTTTTCTGGACAAACCAGCCACCCAGTGTGAGCACCCCCCATTTCTGTCAACTGTGCCACCCACCTCCCGGTCACCCAGTTTGATTGCTATCACTGATACAACAAATATTTATTGAGTGTCGATTACATATCAGTTTGAGCTCTGGAACTACAATGGTGAACTGGTAGTAGGTTGAAGCTCTCCCTACCTCCTAATGTTTCTACTGGACCAGGTAAGTAAACGGGTGAGTAACAGCTGTTCTCCAGCACTTGTCACCCAGTTAGCCACTACATGCAGTTCCACTGAGACTACCTCAAATAAAACTTTCTTAAATTGGACTTCCTGCCTCTTCTCTACCCCCTGGAATCCATCTTACATACTTCGGTACTAGATGGATCTGCTTAAAACAGCCTTTGCGGTATAACAACTAGGCCTAGAACTAGATCCACGGCCGGGATAAAACAAATGAACCTGTGAGACTAGCAGAGAAGAGAGACAAGTACAGTTTCATTAGAGGTGAGGGAGGAAGAACAACCTAGACACACCAATGAGAACTAAGAACCTCAAGTTCCAGTTTAAAGTTGTGTAGGCGAAAAAAAATCCACCACCTGTGTGAGTTGCAGGGGGAAGCAGGAACTCTAATTTATAGAGTTGTTGTTGCTACTAGTTGCCATCAAGTTGATTATGACTCATGGAGACCCCACATGTGCAGAATAGAACTGCTCCACAGGGTTTTCAAGGCTGTGACCTTTCAGAAGCAGATCACCAGGCCTGTCTTCCAAGATGCCTCGGGGTGGTGGATTTGAACCCAGAGTAGTAGTCGAGCACTTAACCGTTAGCACCACCCAGGGACTCCTAATTTATAGAGCACTAGCTATCAATGGAGCTCAAAGAGTTCTGAGCTAATTGATGTCACTACATCCTTTTCCAGAACATTCCTAGAAAGGTAAGTGATACTATTGTTCTCCCCACCCCAGATTCTCTCCTCAACCATAGGATAACAAGGGAATTGAAAAGTAGCTCCTTTGTACCAGGAAGACAGGAAAACCCTGGCATACGTGCTATCTAATTCTTTCTCATAAACTATTCATTTTTTTTTGATCTCTAAAATAGTTGGACATCTGCCATTTTACACAAATCAATTTATGGAATACTTACCAATCACAGAAAGAAAAAACACAATGCTATCTTTAAGATCTTGGGATTCAATTTCATAGCGATCTTCATCTGACGATGTTAAATTGAAGATGGTGAGATCACCTGACGTAGTGTTTAAAAGAATCCTACCCTGAAATGGTGGGAAAGCTCTTAACTCAGAGTCCCTATACCATTCTACGATTTTATCTTTTTGCTTCTTCCATGTGATTTCTTTAAAAACTGTATCTTGCAATGGCTTGAGAGTTACACTCTTGTTCATAATGCCATATACCCCTTCGGAAACACAGCTGATGAAATCTAGAAAAGAAAAAAAAAACTGGTTAGGAAAAACAACATGAGTTTATTGATGATAAAAAACCAACTTCCAAGATGCTCTTTAGAAAAAAAGTTAAATTTAGTAGTAAAAATTATTCATCAGTTACTTTTTGTACTAAGTCGATAAATTGCTGACAGAAAGTATAAGAAGCAGAACATCCTTGACCATGTAGACTCTACTTTTTGGTAAGGATTTGAGGCCCACAAAAAAATCAACAAATTGATTCAACATTTATGGAAAACCAACTATGTGCCAGGTACTGTGGGCAATGCAGAGAATATGGCAGCAAACATATCTTCAGGCCCTCAAGGAGCTACATTTCGTGGAGAAGACACTGAGCAGGCAATACACAAGGGGCTGCAGCAAGGGGAGCCATCTAGTCAAGGGGTGAGGAAGTTCCCCAAAAGAAGTAATTCTGAAACTGACAGAAAATAATGCTGGAAATGACACTGCAAGGATAAAATCAAGAGGAGTTAGCCATGTGAGAGTTGGGGAGGGGAGAGGTACACAGGATAAACATACAGATAAAAGAAACAATACCTCCAAAAGCCCTCAATCAAGAAAGAGATTGGCGTGTTTGGGGAAATGAAAGTAATTTCGAGTAGCTAGAGTGGAAAGGGCAAGGGAGTGATTGGTGGGGAATGAGGCTGGGGAAGCACCCAGGGGCCAGATGGCAGCATGGGGTGGGGGTGGAAGTATCAGGTAAGATAGGCTACGGGCTTGAAGGAGTCTCTGGGTGGTGGAAACAGTTAAGTGCTTGGTTATTAACCAATAGGTCAGAGGTTCGAGTCCACCCAGAGGTACCTTGAAAGAAAGGCCTGGTGATCTACTTCCGAAAGATCACAGCCATTGAAAATCCTATGGGGCACAGTTCAACACCGAACCACATGGGGTCACCATGAGTCAGAACCAACTGGTTGGAGATTTGGTTTCGTTCCCCCTCCCCCACTCTGATTAAGGTTTATTTTATTTTATTTTGGTTAAGGGCTTGAAACTTTATCCAGATAGCAAGAAGCCACAGAAAAGTTTTAAGCAAAAGACTGACATGACATAATTTGAGTTTCAATAGGCGGCTCTGTCTACAGGGTGGAGAGTGGTCCATAAGGGAAAGCATGAAGGCAGAGAAACCAGAACAGAGTCATTACTATAACACAGAAGAGAATGGTGGACCGCACAGACTAGACCAGGGTGTTGGTAGTGAGGATGGAAATAAGTGGACAGACTAAAGAGACATTTGAGGGATGAAATCAACAGGATTTAGTGACTGGATGCAAGGGATGGGGAAGGGAGGAGTTGATGGTGACTGTCAGGTTTCTGTCTTGGCTAATACAGAGGTGTCATTCATTAAATTAAGGAACAGAGGCAGAGTCAACATGGCACCCTAGACATACACACCATGCCATCTCTCTTTAGTAAAGATCTAAGAAAAATGGATACAAATGTCAACCCTGGTACCCTCAGCATCAAATGAAGGGATAAAGAACTAGACTGAAAAACATTGACTGGAAGAAGAGACAGACAGAAAACAGAACGAGGAGTGATACAGAGTGGAGGTCCCCTGCCAATAACACAGCATAGCGTGGTCATCTTGAAACACAGCCAGCAATGACCTCAGACAGAGAGTATAGGAAGGCAACTTCACGGACCTCCCAACAGGAGACAGAGCACCAGGTAACCAGAAAAACACACTTTCCCACACCTCACCCTTCTGGTGAGTAGAAGCAAGAACCCCCTCATCCCAGCATCCCCTACCACCAGGGTCCACAATATGAGCCCCACACCCCAGGCTTGCACCCTCCCCTTCCACTACGTGGCTTTTTTTCCTTTCTTTCTTTTCTTTCTCCCTCTCAGCTAGCCCTGTATGCCACCTCCCCTCCCTTTCCGCTGGCATGCCAGGCTCTCCCTGCTCCACTCACTGGCTCCCACTGCACCACCATTTTTTTCTTCTTTTCATTCTCCTCCCTACCTAGCCTATAAGCCACTTCCCCTCCCTTCCCCCGGCCGCTGGGCCCGGCCCACCCCCACATGCCGGCCCCCACCATGTTGTCATTTTTTTTCTTTCTTATTTTTCTTTCTCCTTTCCACCTAACCCCATATGCCACTTCTCCCACTTCCCAGTGGCATCTGGGTCTGCCGTGCACCCATCCGCTGGCTCCTGCCACACCAACTTTTTTTTCTTTTTCTCTGTTTATTCTTCCTTCTCCCTCCCACCTAGCCCCATATACCACCTCTCCGCCCCCTGTTCCTGCTAACCTCCACTGTGCTGCCATGGCTACAGGCCTGCAGTGCTCAGACTCACCACCACACCAGTATGCAGCACCCCTCCCCTCCTGCCACCTGACCAGCTGCTGAATGGTGGGAAGCGAGCCTGTACCACTCTCGGTCCGACAATCCCATCCATCTGGTAAGGGACAGTGAACACTCCTACATCGCTGGACCAACATCAGGAGGAAGACAGGGCTTGCCCAGTCTGCCCTCAGCCACCTTGACAAACCAGTATACAGTGAAGCAGGTTCACCCTACCTGTTGCTGCCCAGCCCACAGGGACAAGGTAGTAAGAGCTATCATACCCACAGATGAGCAAGCAACAAAGCACGCCCACCCACCCATCCTGACATATCAAAACAAAACAAAAAGCAGGACAAAACAAACAATACAATCAATAAATAAAGAAAATAACACCTTAATGTCTCAGAGACAGTGGACAATTATCAAAACATAAAAAAGGAGGATAATATGGCTCTAGCAAATAACCAAAATAAAGGATCAGATAACTTTCCAGCAGAAGAAAAGGCATTGGAACTACTTGAAATGAAATTCAAAAGACTAATATTTAGGGCTCTCCAAGACATTAGGAAAAACACCAAGGAAAACACAGACAAAAACAAGGAAAAAATAGACAAAATCATGGAAGACACAGACAAAACCAAAGAAAATGAAGCCAAAATCAAGGAAAACACAGACAAATCAATAGAAGAATTAGGGAAATTATACAAGAACAAAACGTCAAAATAAACAAACAATTAGAAAGCAAACAAAAACAGACTCTAGAAATCAAAAAGATAAACAACAAAAGGTCAGAGATGGACAACTCAATAGAAGGCTTTAGGAGCAAATTTGAAACAATAGAAGACAGAATCAGTGAAACTGAAGACAAATCCATGAACGCCATTTTGTTTGAGGAAAAATCAAAGAAGGGAATAAAAAAAACATAAGAATTATGTGGGACACAATAAAGACCAAAAGTTTGCATGTTATCGTATTTCTAGAACAGAGGGAGAAAATGGAAAACACAGAGAAGATAGTTGAAGATTTGCTGGCAGAAAACTTCCCAAGTATCATGAAAGATGAAAACCTGAAAATCCAAGAAGCTCAACGAACCCCATATAAGACAGACCCCAGAGGAAGTTACCGAGACATAATCACACTTGCCAAAACCAAAGAAAGAATCCTGACAGCAGTTTGAGAAAACTGAAAAATCAATTACAAAGGGGAAACAATAAGACTAAATTCTGATTACTCAGCAGAAACTCTGCAGGCAATAAGACAATGGGATGACATATACAAAACCTTGAAAGAAAAGAACTGCCAACCAAGAATAATATATCCTGCAAAACTCTCTTCAAATATGATGGTGAAATTAGGACATTTGCAGAGAAACAGAAATTAAGGGATTTATAAAAAATCAAACTAAACTTACAAGAAATATTAAAGGAAGGTCTTTAGCTAGAGAACCAACAACATTAGACAACAACCTAAGCATAGGACCCAGGACAACATCAGCCAGATACCAACTTAGGTAAAGAACCCTCAATATTAAAACACATACAGACCACTTCACCCAACAGCCAGCAAAGTATACATTCTTTCCCAATATACATAGAATGTTCTCCAGAATAGACCACATTTTAGGCCACAAAGCAACTCTCGATACAATCCAAAACATTAAAATAATACAAAGCATTATCTCTGATCACGATGTCATAAAAGTAGAAATCAATAACAGGAAGAGCAGGGAAAAAAAATCAAATACATGGAAACTGAATAACATCTTGCTTAAAAACAACTGGGTAATAGAAGATATCAAAGAGGGAATAAAAAGAATTTCTAGAATCAAATGAGAATGAAAACACATCATATCAAAACCTTTGGGACACAGCAAAGGCAGCGCTCAGAGGTCAATTTATATAATAAACACACACGAAGAAAGAACAAGCCAAAATCAAAAACGTTAGCCCTATAATTCAAACAAATACAAAGAGAACAGCAAAAGAAGCCCACAGTCACCAGAAGAAAGGAAATAATAAAGATCAGAGCAGAAATAAATGAAATAGAGAACAAAAAAACAATACAAAGAATCAACAAGACCAAAAGTTGGTTCTTTGAAATGATCAACAAAATCGATGAACCACTGGCCAAACTGATAAAAGAAAAACAAGGGAGGAAGCAAATAACCAAATAAGAAATGAGATGGGGGACGTTACAACAGACCCAAATGAAATAAAAAGGATCTATCTTAGTTATCTAGTGCTGCTATAACAGAAATACCACAAGTGGATGGCTTTAACAAACAGAAATTTATTCTCTCACAGTTTAGGAGGCTAGAAGTCTGAATTCAGGGCGCCAGCTCCATGGGAAGGCTTTCTCTCTGTGTTGGCTCCAGGGGAGGGTCCCTGTCATCAATTTTCACCAGGCCTAGGAGCTTCTCAGTACAGAGACCGTGGGTCCAAATGATGCGCTCCACTCCTGGCTATTCTTCCTTGGTGGTAATGAGGTCCCATCTCTCTCTCCCTTCTCTCTTCTTTTACCTCTTGTAAGATAAAAGGTGATGCAGGCCACTCCCCAGGGAAACTCCTCATATTCAGTCAGGGCTGTGACCTGAGTAAGGGTGTTGCATCCCACCCTAATCCTCTTTAACATAACCTAATCATGCCCCATTAATCACAGGAAGCTATCAGGATTTACAACACATAGAAAAATT